TCATTGAAATATAATGGTATAATATCCAATAAAATTCCTTTTTATTTTTTGAAGAGGTGAATTTACTGTTATATTTAATGTCATATATTATTTTAAGTATAATAAAAAGCATAATCAAATTTTCTTCTAAATCACCATTGATGAATGCAAAAATGTTTGTTTTCTTATACTCGTTTATTTATTGACGAAATTCGACTGGAATTGGTAATTAGAGCTGACTGCTGCTGTAGTTGAAGAGGGAAATAAATTTCAAGGAATCAAGTTATAACTTAAAATAGAATTTTATTTTACTTGTAACTAAAACTATGAATGCAGTTGAATATTCTTAAAGAAAGGTAAAGAAATTTTTGATTTAATGGGTAGTTAAATTACTTTACCTTCCTTCATCAAGTGCAGGAAAGTAAACATGGAACTTCTTCTTTCTGAGTTCTACAAATACCAAGCAATTCTAGTTGGACTGAATTCCAGTTTCCTGTCAGATGCATTCTTCTCATACAAAATGAACAAATTCTCGAATGATATATTACATGCGCTTTAATTAATTCTGCTTAAAAGCAAGAATGAAGCTGAAATAAGAGTTCTGGAGTTGAGTCTGGGAATTTCTACATATGTTACCTCCATTAAAAAGCGAATCGTCCATGAAAACGTTTCGAATAAAGCAATGAAAAGTTGCAAATTTTATATACGGATGCAATTAAAGTTTCTCCTGATGATAAAAATAATCAAAAATATACCAGTCAAAGATAAAAATATTAGTATTTTTAACATTATTATATTTTGGATTATTTTGTTTAATTTTATAAAGAAATCAACACTTTATTGACGAGTCGTTTTAGTGATGTCGTTTCAATTTTCAGTTCAAACGTTTCAGAAATGATTATAATGTCATTCTATATTTCTTATAATTAATTACATCACGCACTTTAAAATTGTGCACGTGAAAGTTATTATCAATTAATGGTCAAATTTTGCACACCAAAATATTTGTTTGTTTGGTTAGTCATGGTAAAGAAAGTTAGGGGCTTCTGCCTAAGGGAAGAAAAACTTGGGTGGAGGACATTCTGAAAGAAACTGGTACGTATAGAAGCAATTTTACTTCCATTACTGATGGTTTAGTAGAAATTATTTGAAGCCGTATCTCCTTCTGTGGTGCTATCGTAGTGAGCAATGAACTGAATTCGTCGCCGTTTTCTCTTAACATTTGATACAATTAAACAATAGGCAAATAGTTAAGTATTATACGTTAGTGATGGTACTACTCCTCTCTAATTGTAACTGCTACAACATGGCCTGGTAACTGAAGAGTTAGATAACAATTAAAAACACATTGTGCCAAATTTCAGTCTGTGGATCTTCCAAAGTTGCGTCGCCTTTTATGATGTCACGCGCTGTTACGATGCCCTTGATGAAACCTTTCAATCATTGTTGCACACCAGTGGGCGTATGCCTACTTTTGCACCACATATTTCGTATAGATTTTACATGCAAAACTCTCGAAAAGACAGATGACTGCGCAAGATCATTCGAAACGCCTTCACTACCAGGGATGAACAAATTTGCTGGCCGCCAAGACGGTATAGTGGTTAGGAGAGCCTACTGCGATACCGAAGAGCTCGAGTTCGAATCCTAGTAAAGGCATAGATGTTTTTAAATGCATAGTGTCTTTGCAGTATGGAGGCACTCTAAATAAATGCCGAGCCGAAAGTACTCTCGTGTGGATTGATGGTAGGGAAGAGGTGTGGGAAACCCTCGGACACTATACCTCAAAATTAGAGAAAGAAATAAAAGCCCAACCCCACTGAGGCTCTGGCAACCATTCTTCCATGGAATTCATGGGCAAGACAAAAATAACAAACGTGCTCTTATGTCAGCCGTTTGTAATCTTTAATCCACAGCGCATTCTGCCCATGTTTTTCCTATATTGTAACAATTAAGGAATAACCAATAAGTTTTTCTTTACCCATTTTTTTGTCAGCTACGATAAAGCTCACTAAACCAATTAAAAATAAACAGGGCAGGGCCATCCATCAACGACGAAGGAAGTCTCCAATATTCGCAAAAAATCATCACTTGGAGGCTCTCTCGTTTTCAATCCATTTTTTTTTCTGACGCGCCAACACGATTTGTCTTCTATCATGTACAACACAAACCCACACCCAAATATGCTACACTGACATACTCTATAGACTTGTACGTACAGTACAGCAATGTGAGGTCGCCCGCCTTCATTCCGTGCAGCCAGATCTACTAAAATATTTCGGTATTACACGCATACAAAAATTAATTCTACAAAGCGAATGTTAGTTGAATTGCGCTTAATTTTATATTTCAAATTAGCGTACTTGGAGTGCTTCCCTTACATATTCCAATTAATTATATCATAACTTAATTTGCTATATAACTATATCATAACTTAATTTGCTATCTCGCATTAATGATGTAATTAAATTTAGAAAGACGATAATTCATTTGATATTCACATACAGCAGATAAAATAAGCGGCGAAGTCTGAAAGAATCCGTCATTGCTGTTATCAGGTTAAAGTCATAAAGCTGTTCTTATTTTCAAAATAGCAATCTATAGATAAAGCTTTAATGCATTTAATGGTGTTTGAAAATGTTATCGTTAATCTTTTTCTAACAGTTTAATTGCGTTACGCATTCAAATGGAGAATCCAGAAAGTTCATCACAGGGAGAATACCTTCAATAGACATTAAACCTTTCAAACCCATTTTTAGGTATTTTAAGATACAAGAGAAATCTTCGAATAGAAATATCTTAAGAAATAATGTAAATGATAACATATAAAATGAAACTAATTTTTTGGCTGAAAGAATGATATTAGTTCCGAGTTATTTTTACCTTGATAATTTATAAATCTTAGAAGTGAGAAATGTGTTTAGGAGAATTAATTTCTCTCACTTCTAAGAAATGACGGCCGAGCGGTAACGTCCCTGATGGTGTGGTGTATTTAATTATGGCAAAGCACACTAGGGCTATCTGCCTAAAGGGAGGGATGCCTTCGTGGAGGACTTTCTATGGGAAACTAGCTCGTATACACGTTACACATGGGGAAAATCACGAAAACGCCCATGCAGCCAGCCCGTTCGCGGGATTCGAACCTCGGACCGAACTACCAGTGTTCAGCGACTTTACCGCTCGGCCGCTGGTGGGCCCGGTAAAGTCCCTGAACACTAGTAGTTCGTTCTGAGATTAGAACCCGCGAACGGGCTGGCTACATGGGCGTTTTCGTAGTTTTTCCCATGTGTAATGTGTTAATAAGAGCCAGTTTTTCTTAGAAAGTCCTCCACGAAGGCATACCTCCCTTCCGTGTTGTGCCTTAGTGCTTTAGGACGAAACACGTAAATAATAATAATATTAAGAAAAGACATAAATTACTCGTAATTTGCTGTTTGGCACATTTTAAAAGTTGCCCAAAATAGCATATTCAGTGATGCATTATCCCTAAATATATAAGAATCTGTGCTTTATTCTAGACATTAATTACGCAATCTCGTATTGATGTTAAAGCTACCTGCTGTCGAACTTTCAGAAATGCTGCACCTAATAATAATTTAGACTTGCATTATTGTGTGTTACTACGTAATAAAAAACTGTTAAGTTATTTACTCTAGCATAATTATTTCTATTTTAAGAATTCATTTTATTGTATTTTAGTCGTATTTTGTACAATGTTAAAAAACACTGATGTTACTTTAAGATGTGCATCACAATTATCTGATTTAACCACAATTTTTTATTTGAATCTTGTTTAAAAAATAAATCTTTTATTTTTTTCTTTCGTCGTGTAAAGAAAGGAAATAGAAAAAATATGAATGAAACGCTTCTCAAATTACACATTGTTTACAAGAATTTTAAGAAGGAAGTAAAAAATACTCCCTGTTTCATATCAGCAAACTAATCTCAGATCTGCATCTTTTAGAAGAAGTCATTGATATAGATCAGGCGTTCTAAACGGGATCGGTATCCTTACTGTCGATGAAATTTTAAAGGGAACCGGAGTTAATCAAGGGGTCAATAGCTGAATACGCACCAGCAATTGATAGGTATAATGAACATCTTATTGATTACAAAATGTATTAATAAAACAGAAAATTAATTGCTTATTGATATAAAGCACCCTGTAGTTAGGAAGAAATCATAGACAATTATATAACGTAAAAATTAACTATAATTACTTAATACATTTTAAAATCAATAATATTTTTAAAATCAATAATATTTTAAATATATATATATATATATTATACAATAAGTGTAATATAAAAAACATAACAAGATAAAAAAAAAAAAAAAAAAAAAAAAAAAAAAAAACCAAGAACGCCAAACTAGAATGACAAACAAGAAAGAGGTTGAATATTTTTAAATGAGGTTATTTAAAAATATATTTAAGCAATTTTAGGCCAACTACAGTACCCGCCGCTTATTAAACTCACTGTTAATAAAAGTAACATAAACCTTACAAGTTGCTTACTAAATGGGAGAGAATATCATGAATTAGTGCATAATACGCTGCATGAGATTGTGGCATAAATGGATAGAAAATCCCGCTGGCAACTCGAAATTCTTCTAGTTTGAATCTCAATGAGAGCTCATTACATTCAGTTAAGCATCAAAATATAATACATGTGAAAAGAGAGACAAAATATAATACATGTGAAAAGAGAGACAAAATATAATACATGTGAAAAGAGAGATTGAAAATTATTAATTATTAATGTCATTAATACCGTTTTAAGGCTTCATTTACTTGACTTCCAAACTCAAAAGAAAATGGGGACTGAGTTTCTTCCAAATGATTCGCTGTAATATAAAGCTAGGATACTAAACTGATAAATTTTTGAAAACATCAAACGTTTTCTATGAAGTGGGTTTGACTGGAAAATACCCACTTTAATTTCGAAAGTTTAATTATAAACTAAATTATGTAGTTCATACTTTAAAGTGATGTATACTATTTTAATGCATTTATTTTGCAGGTACATCAGCTCAAGCTGTTGATTTTTGGCCTGGCCCAGAAGATCTCCATTCTTGGACGTGGAGCCAGTATCGGAAGTATGTTACGACTAGTGTGGACAGTTTCGACCCTCGTGTCAGTCAACAAACTTTGCAGTTATACAACACAACGCAACTATTCGGTAATAACTGCATTTAACTGTTTTTTGTAAGGCTCCAATGCAAATAGAAGTTTCATCTAAATTTTGTTTTACAGCTTTAATGTCAGAAGAATTTATCGCGAAGGTTGTTTAGTAAGTTCTTGAAAAAGCGTATCTGCTGAAATAACATCAAAAAGAAAAAACGTATCTACTCGAGTAGTTTGACGGTGATTTGATAGATGATAAAAGGAATCCACCGTGATCTTCGCAGCTAAAAAATAAAACTTCGCTGATAGATGATTGAATAAAAAACTAAAAAGACCAGAAGTTACCCTTTTTGAAGATTGAAAGGCTTGCAGTGGAAAGCGGGGCGTTCAAAGTAAAGATTTTGGGCTCGTGCACTTGGTTAGATAAAAGCGAGGGAGTTTTTAAAGCAATAGTATACATAGTCATTCGGTTATTTTGAAGCAGGAGATGTTAAAAATCTGCAATGCCCTCGAACTTGGACTTTTCGAATACTCGGCGAGTATTCGAAACCGTTACACCCCGAAGTTACCGTTACACCCCGAACGCATGCTGGAAAGAGGGAGAACAAAGTTTACAATACATATTGTTATGACCATAAGAACAACATGTTTGGTTAGATGGGTCAGACTGCGCCTATTTCTCGAATCGTACAAGTATATAAGCTATTTGTTGCAAGTCAAAGGCATTTTCTATCTACTGTATGAAACAGAAGTGCTTCCTAGCAGAAGTTCGGTGCAGAAGGAAAATTTATAAAAATATTTGATTTAACTTTTAATATGTATCACTAAAATACGCAAGGGATCTCCAATATAGTTCTTAGACATTTGTTTAATTTTTTTTGTTGGAATTTGAATTTAAGAAGTAGGAGCATCGCACAGGAAAGTCTTTGTACCCATTCAGCTCAGAATATTTCCATTGCATTCTAATAGCAAACTGAAGAATTCTTATCTTGACAATAAAGCAAGGTACATAAAAGTTTACAGTTCGGAGTTTTGGAGCATTTGCGTTTCAGCATGCAATGACACGCAGTTTATACATAATACTGTAAGCGCAGACGATAAACTATAAAGTAAAAAAGTAGTTATGCAAATATCGCATTCACAGTTGAAATATTATATAATCTAATAGGCTTGGTTTGGTTTATGTGATTATGCAAAGCTTCGAGAGCTATCTGCCTAAGGAGGGGAATGCCTTCGTGGAGGACTTTCTAACAGAAACTGGCTCATATACACGTTACACATGGGGAAAGCGACGAAAACGCCCATTCAGCCAGCCCATTCGCGGGATTCGAAACTCGGACCGAGCTGGTAGTGTTCAGCGACTTTACCGCTCGACCTTGATGGACCAAAGAATCTGACAGAACGAGTTAAATAAAAATGTTTAAAAGCTGAAGAGTAACATAATAATTTTTTTAATTATTTGAAAGGAATAAAATAAGAGTATATTTACAGTGAAGGGAAGTTTATAAGTTTACATTTAAATTTTTATATAAGTTTACTTTTTTATCTCCAATCTTATTTATTCATAGTGCATTTGGTTTATACGACTTTTAACAGCAAGGTATGTTTTTATATATGCATAACTTCGGTTATATAACTCATTTACTTTGGTTGATCCACTAAATACTTTTGTAGCTCTATCTCAAAAATATCACAGCTTAAGTTTTCCGAAAATGCTTTCTTTTCCGGTAGAGATTGGAAGTTGCAAACGGCGAAATCATTGGGAATAAAGTAAGAGGCAGGTTATCTGAGACAGGCACATGCATTGATATGTAGTTGGTGGATGGAAGATAGATTACTCAGAGCGATGAAATAGAAAATGGAGTTTGCTGACCAGAGACATTTGCCGACGGAAAATGCTTTCTTCCCGGTAATTTAGTAAACATTTTATAAGTCAACTGTAATTTATCCTTTAGAGTTTTAGATAAACTTTATTTTCTACTAAATATCTAGAAAATCATTTTTAAAGACAAAACTGAAATTACGGAAAAAGTAACCGAGAAGAATGCAGAAGTCAAATTCTTGTTATAAGAAATTCATAGAAGGCAAGAAAATGTTTCAAGTTTTCAAGTTTTTTAAATAGTAGCATAATAATATGACACGGGGGATAAAATGGAGATGGCAACGGACTTTCTTATAGATTTGCTAGAGACAATGGAAACACAAAGCAAATGAGATCTTACAACTGCAAAATTTTGCTTTTCTTCGATTAATACTATAATTACCATTTTCCATCGAACTGACTTTCTGAAAGGCGTAAATGTTGTTTTCCAATTCAAGTTTACTAAGTGCACTGTAACCTTAAAGGGCATAATCAAGAATTTAATTAAACCGTTAGAGCAGGGAATACCCAGGAGGCTATGAATATGACCGCTCTAGAAATCACAAAGATTAAATCAGAATCAGAAAAGTTAGAAATATAATATTAATAAAATCAGATTAATAAATTATGAAGATTTAAAAATCTTTTAATCAAAAGAATGTTTTTTTTTTTTTTTTTTTTTTTTTTTTTTTTTTTTTTTTTTTTTTTTTTTTTCAAAATCGGAAATCAAGCTGAAGGACTTACAGTGAAATTCATGATGGTATTGCGATGAATAAAGGGGACTGAAAGTTTCAGGAAGCCTACATTGTTTTCAAGAAATATGTCAAATGTTATGTCAAACTCCTGCCGTCTACACTATGCGCACTTAAAGAACTCATTGAAAACATATTCCTGAAAGATTATTCGAGTAACGGGATTGAAGAAGGAACTTAAGAATCTGTCCCTCTTTCTCAAGAATCAATACAATTTGTGACAAGGAAAGAAATTTCTGAATACGTTGTGATGTTCAGTAATTTCTTTTTTTTTTTTTTTTTTTTTTTTTTTTTTTTTTTTTTTTTTTTTTTTTTTTTTTTTTTTTTTTGTAATGAATCCACTGAGAAAGATTTTCAAGAACTTCATATCATGGCTCTTTGATTAAAGATGAGACTCAAACGGCATGTCAGACGATGCTTGAATATTGTTTCTAAAAAGAAAATTTGATAAAATAAAAAATCTGCAACTATATTAAAGTCTCTCTGAAAAACAATATTATTTATTCAAAAACAAATACAAAAAAAAAAAAAAAAAAAAAAAAAAAAATGAAAGTATTATGGCCATTATATTTCTTGAATCTTTAAGATTTACAAAATAAAGTACCTTGCCTTTTTTTAATATATAGGTTTGAATCTTTAAGATTTTAAAAATAAAGTAATTTGCCTTTTTTAAAATGTAGCTTGTATAATGTATTTGAAACATAAAAATTTTATAGCTAATAATCTATGTTATCACACCTTAAACTACAATTTCAGTTACATATCCTTCCCATTTTAATTATCGTTTGGGAAAGTTCCCTTGAAAGATGGAAAAACGGTACTTAAATATATTATTTGTTCAATCATATACAAAATGTGAGGAAATTATAACGGCATAACAGCAGTCATTTTTTCATGGAGCCATCTGAAACGTTTCTGCTTCTGGCATACAATGAAAAATGTTAATATCTTCGCCACATTGATGAAGCACACCCGAAAACGACTTCTTATTAAGTACTTGAGATGATTTACAGGAAAATGTTTTCTAGTGGAGTCATTAAACAAAGGTTCATCGCAGGCGTCGCTTTCCTAAATATAAAGAATGCCCAGTGAAGCGAATAAAAAAGTGATCAATGAAGAGAAGCGAAAGATTCGCAAGACCATGGCAACATCTGACACTTGATTCTCAATGGTTGGTGTGTCACGTGTTATGTTTGAGGATGTAAATGTCCATTAATGCATTCATAATAATTATTTATTGCATAAAAACCGTTGTGGTTGATCTGCTAAATAATGCGGATGAAGCTTAATGCGATAAATATTCACTTAATTGCAATGTAAATCCAGTCAGACTTTTGAATTTGAGAGATAGAGAAATTCTTGAGTGATATTTTGTAGTATATCACGTTCATAAGTATAGTTTAAAAATATCTTAACGAGTCATTATCGAGTATATAATGGATGGTATTAGAAACGTCTATTAGCAATTACAATAATGCTGCAAATCTTCATATAACTATCATTTCGATAGACTGTAATTTAAAGATAATTTAAATGACATAAATTTTGAATGAAATCATTAAGATCCTTTAATCAAAAGATAAAATAAAGATTTAAACAATTAAGTAGTGCGTTTATTATTTCTAAATCAGTCAGTTATGATTTTGAATTTAAATTAAATATCTTATGTCATATTAAATGTCAAAACTGTGGAAAATTGTTAACCGGCTGTTCGTGTGGAAGATAGATTAGGAATCTTGTGCCTATTGCATATCTTACTAAGCCCTGTTGATTATAAATGACATGTTACCATAATGCAATGGAAAGTAAACTGAAGGACTAATTATTTAGAAAGGTTTCGCTAAAGATTGATTCTAATATCAAAAATATGAATAAATGTAGCGTTTAACAGTTTTGCCTATTCTAATGCTAAGAAGTATAATATAGTGAAAGCCTATGAATTTCGTAATGAATTTTAGTTCTTCTAAAATTAGATTTTTAAAATTATACAAGGAAGAATTTCCATAAATACCTGTCCACTAGATATATGTAAAATTTCTAAATTAAAATCATTATTTAGCAGGACTGAAAATTTGTTTCATTTGCTTGAGGAATTACTTTTAATTTTTGTTGTTGCTTATATTTAACATTTCTTTTAATATAAATTTTTGCTGGATAGTAATGCTGACGCTCTGAGACTTTGCTATGTATTTTTTATCTATCGTGAGTAAGGATTTGTTTGTGTTCACTGACTGATAAACATCTGCTGATTTAGTGTGATAATACAGTGCCTTCAAAATCTTGGGACAGTAATAGTGAAAACTTAAACGTCACAATAACTACCTCAGAGAAATTAAGTAAGGAAATCTAGGAAAAATCAAAGTACAAATGAAATCCCGAAGTATACAGTAATAAAAGTTGTTCCAAGAAGTTATTCAAGAAGTTCTTGACATTCGTTTCCTG